CACTCACTGGACTTCAGATCGGAGACCTCGCGGCGAAGATCTTGAACTTCGGCACGGAGCAGCGCATTGGCCCTCGAAAGCATCTGTACCTGGAACTGAAGACTGGCAAGGTCCTCAGCCATGGCTGAGAACTTCCGGCTCCACTCAACCTGTACAGCCTGCAGGTCAGCAATGCTAAGCGGCGACCACGGAGAAGCCGGAGCTGCGGCGGGCTCGTCTTCCACCAAGACCTCCACCTTCTCTGAAGAATCCTCGGGGGGCAGGGGCCAATCCTCATCGGTAGCAAGTTCCGAGCAAGGCCATTCTTCATCAGAAGCAGAACGGGACATGGTTCACACAGTCTCACCGTCAGGGAGAGGCAAAAACCTGGCGAAACTTCTGCAGCAGGTTCTCGATCCAAGACAAGCGATGCTCGGCACGAGTATTCTCTGATTGAAGGCTGTTGAGGGTATCACGCGTATTTCCAGAGTTGTCCTCTAGAGAACGCAACCTCTCTTCCAGGTGCAGGACTCGATGCTGTAAGATATCGTGCGCCCTCTGAAGATCGTGGAGGTGAGCCGAGAGGGCCTCAAAAGTAGAGGTGCTGGTGCGACTAGCAGCACCGCTTTCAGAGCGCACGGGCGAGTCCATGCACAGGCCGCCGCCCCGGGAGGAAAAGCTTCCGTATAAAAAAAACTTTGTTCATGTCTTGATTGAACATGTAAGCATGTTTCCGTGGAACATGCTCCCACCTGTTGTGATGTTAACTACCTTGAGGGGCGAGCGCGGAGTGCAACACGCTAAGCTCCATTCAACATCACAAGCATTCCGATCATGCAAAAACCAAGATCATGCATGAAATAATGAAATGCTGGAAAACAATCCCACTTGCGTAAAAACGCGTTGCTGAAAGAGAGCATTATCGCCTGAAGCCCGCAGGCTCAGATTGAGCATCGATACGTCCAGCCCAGGCTGCTGGACTGCCCCCCCTCAAAAGACAAAGCCAGCATAAAAATGCATGCTTTCATAATATATATATATATATATATATATATGTATATGTATATCTATATGTATATGTATATGTACATATGACCCCTGCCCGAAACAACGGTCGCTGCAACCCGAAGCCCGATATGATGACGTGCAACTAAACCTGACCTCCTGACTTGAGAGCAGGGCGGACGAAAGCGGCCCCCCCCTGTGCGACCCTAAAAGTCCTTGATATATCGGAGAAAAGGGGGCCTCCGTGCTAATTCATCAGAGAGAGAACTTGTAAACAAGAACTCCCGGCTCCAAGGAGCTAGCTTTCGTGTTTTTTCAGGATCCCTAAACCCCAGGCTCTTCAAAAGCTAATCCCGAACGCAAAGCCCCAGGGGCCGTGGAGAGGGGCTCGCCAATGAGACGCGGGATCGAGGAAGGCTCCGTCAACTGCAGCTGGGCCTCGAGGATGAAAGGGGCTTCGTTGAGTTGAGCTTTGTTTTTGTTTGCCCTCTTTTGCCCTCTTTTCCGTCTGCTATCACTAGCTCGAGAATGCCAGTTTGGCTGAGTTGAGTTTAGGGTTTGGTCTGGTTTAGGCCTTAAGGTCCTACAAGGTTTTGAGACTTAGTTTCCGGGTTGTAGGGCTCAAGGATTTGTGTGTGTGTTGTTCAAACTGGAATAAGGCGTTTTTGAGGCTTAGGGCTTTATGTCTTTGACGGGTTTGTGGACCTAGAAGGGTTTTGGGGTGTTTAGGCCTTCGGGGTCTTGGGGCTTGGGGGAGGTTTAACTTCAAGCTTTTTGGGGTGTCGGCGTCAGGGGATTCTTGAGACTGGGGATCTGGACCCAAAGCGATTGGGGAGCTCTTCTCCAGTGAGCTTAAGACAAGATCAAGAAGGCAACGCTCACAAAGAACGGCTTCGGGTGAACCCAGTCCTAAGGCTACACCCGATAAAACCCGAACACATGTCCTGTAGAATGTTAAGATTAGTACATGTAACGACCCGAAAGAGCGCGAAGATACTCGAAGTATTGTTCTATATACTTTTTTTACTACGACTAATTAGGAACTTCGAGAACAGAATTACTGGCTGCTGTGCTGAAATCTCGCACCTGACCACGGTCCTAAAGATTCCGCAACTTATGGACGAAGGCTTCCATGACTTCATAGGATAAGGATTCATTCGGTGCATTCTTCTCATATACAGTACAACTATGTAGAAACTATATGGGATATGATTGTTAGATACGCCTACATGAGGAACAGCTGGTAATGCAGCCACAGCACCAGCCAACAGCTTTTTGTAGCAAACTTTCAATTTTGCACTTCGGGCCACTGCCAGCTCTCAATCTGCTAGGATCATCTAGGGTCCAGAGGTCTGGTGTCTCACCTGCCCACGCACCCCCAAGCCCTCAAGCCTGAAACGTGAAATCCCCCATCATCGAGACATCGAGGGTCACATGCTCTCAATCCCGAACCAGGAAGCTCACCTCACCCCTGAACTCTCGACGCCAAAGACCAGATTCCCATGTCCTAACATGGAGTGTGCTTTTGGCATCAGCCCGGCGGCCAGCAAGCCAGCACCTGGTCTTGCTTTGTCTTTGCGTAACCACTACGTCTGCCCAGCTGCTGCCTTTGACGCTGGTGCTCTAATCTGGGCTCTAAGCGACGGGCATGTGAGTTCTGTCATTGTTTGAGGCTCCCGCCCATTGCCGCAAACTTGCCACTACAATGTAGTGCCTTTTCTCCTGTCTCTTATGGGCCGTAGCGTCCGAACCTCAGATCGGGTACACCTCACAACAAGCGGCTGTGTGCTAACTTTGGTTCGGCTAATGCTGTGACTTTTTTGGGGGAATCTTCCACAACCTGAACCCAGACACGCTTTAGATGCTTCGGGGCATGTCCCCGTCCCGAACGAGTTTGCGGGCTTCTACTCTAGCGGGCAACCTGCTCAGAGACTAGCACGGCTACTACAGTCCGCTCCCTCTCTCCAAACTCTACGCCTTTGTTTTAGACCGTTTCCTTTTGATGCTAGACCTTGAACCCTTGAAAAAAGCCTCAGCCCTCCATCCCAAGCTTCAGCCGCAAACGCAAAATCAAACCTGAATCCGAAATACTGGACTTGCGAATCCTAGCCAGGGCCTCCATCCCACAATCTATGATTAGTCACTAGTAGTCACTAGCAGCGGCTTAGGATGAAACCTGACTGATTAACTATGATTTCCGGATATTCCTTGATTGGGGGAGCTTGCGACCGCTGGGAGAACCCCAAGCCCAAGCCGGGGTTGCATCGCCTTTGCTGCGCCAGACTTTCTTTCCCTTCTGCAGGCCCTTGGCTGCCATGTCGCGCAGTGAATCGAGGCCGGTGGTCAAGAGATAGCTGTTGCAATTCCCCGGATGCTCCGCTGTCGCCTTTTGTTTTGGGTATGAGTGGATCCAGCTCTTAAATTCTCTCTTTTGTTCCTGACTTGCTCAGTTTCTTAAAGGGACTAAAGGTGGACTTTCGGTGTAAAATAGGGATTATTTTATAGTACCCCATACAGGCTAAAGGTTATTACTCTTCTACTAGGGTTCTCGTTCTCGCCCGATGCTGCCGAGGGGTGAAGAACGGTAACCATCATCCCCAAACCTCATCATGATGTATCATGATCACACACACATTGTCCTGAACGTACTGGAGCTACTACTAATGCCGCTTGTGAGTAGCATTCTGCTAAGCTTGGCGTTCAGGGCTTCAGACTACCTGTGCAAACGTTGATGGCCGGAAGCGGCACCTTACTCCCAGAAGCTTGACCAGAAAGCTTGCGCAGAGAGGCCCGGACTTGCGCTGACTGAGCAAGATTCGCAGGATCAATTACCAGCTACAGCTCGGACTCCTGATAAACCCTCGAGGTTAGTCTAAATAAAGCAGAACTAACTGAAGGCAGAGCCTGGGCAAAGGTCGAAAGTTCTACCCATACATTCAAAAGAACGAGGACTGAGAGTATGACCGGGATTCTCACGAAGCTGAAGCTCCCTCAACCGATCGTGTCGATGGACAGCGAGAGCAAGGCATTTGCGTAATTGAACAAAGCCACAACAAGCAAATTACTACGTTTTCTACATCCTACCACAATACTACGACACTGGGTCTCAGCCATGTTGTGCAAACTCTTTCTGTCGAACTTGTGCGACCTGATCCGGAAAGCCACTAGGCTTGTCTTGCAAATTCCGCTTGCACGTTGTCAGCTGGCGCTACGAATACTGAGCTATGAACATCCATCTCCCCAAGATGCGGGAAGATAAGGTACAGGGCTGATCTACGGATCTCGCCCGGTAGTCGCAGTTTCAACCTGGCCACTCTTAAGGTGCTTCTTGGGATCTGTGTCGTCTGGGCATCGTGGCACAGCACGCGGAAAAATACAGACTGCTCGTCCGCTCCTTTTCGGGACCCAACAAGTGATTGCAGCTCCGACTATCTCTGTGTTTGACAACCGAGGAAAGGCACTTACTCCCTAAATCTAAAACAGACCCGAAAAGCCCTAAGCCGACATGCTGCTAAGGGCTGCGCAGCTTCTTGATGTGAGCCGCTCGCCAGAACCCTGCAAAGAGGGTGGTGCAAAGACAGGGATGGCAATGAAAGGCAACAAGCTGAGACCAGGTTGCTCTACATGGTTCCGAAGACTTGCATGCCATTCTACTTCTGTTGCTATGATTTCTAAGAGGTGTTCACCTGAAACCTGGATTAGATACGTGCTATGCCACTCCATCCCTGCACCGGGTTCATGTGGCAGCCTTTTCTCCGAAGCTTCGCCTTGCACGATGTCAGAAACAGTCCTTGGAATGCTTCCGTGGTGCATGAGCTTCCAGAATGTCAGACCTCAGACCTTGCTTCAAACCAGGTCTGGCCCCCCACCATCAAACAATTTGAGCTATAAAACTCCTGGCCTCGACTGTCAGACGACGGCCAGTAGGAGGCATTACAATAAGTCTTTGTACAAGCGTGGCTAGCATGCATCATGAGCTGCATGCATTGCGTCACTAGCTACGGGTACCACAGCACTTAGACATGAACAGCCATCAGCATGTCGGGTTTCTGCCCGGGAAGAAAGTCGGTGAAAGGCGCAAAGAGCATCGGGCACTTGTCGCGCACCTGCTCGAAGGGGCAACCACAATCGCGGTGGCATTCGCCATCCTGGCACTTTTCGTGGCACTCCATCGTTTCCACAAGCTTAGCCTGAAAAGCGGCATCCTCGGGCAGGGGGCACGCCTTGTGGCAATGATGATCCAGGCCACAGTTGTCGTGGCACACTTTCACCTGCATAACGTCAGCGCAGAACTCAACCTTTGTGGGAGCATGCCATTGGTGGTGCCAACCATGGTGGTGGAAGCGCTCCTGCACAGCGATCACACACAATATAACGTAACGTTGCATAACAAAAACATAGAGCAACATAACATAACATATCACAACATACCATGACCTAACACAACGTAACAAAACGTAATGTAGTATAATTCGAAATCAGGTCACATAGCAGAACATGGGACAGAGCATACTGGAATGGCAAAGCATAGCATAGCATGGGATGTTATCGGATAAGAACGATAAGATAGGACCGAACACAGCAGAAAAGACTAAACGGAACAGTTAGATTACAGCGCAATGCAGGCCCATAGACTTTTTCTATTAAAGCCCTGCTGTTTGTGCAGCTGGCCAGGGTAGACTTGCACTGCGGGCCGCTAATTGATGCAAGTAGCTTGGGCTGGCTTAGGGATTGGAGTCGACTCTCAGTGAAGCACTTCAAGAGTTTCCGCAAAAGCTAGTGTGATGTAGGGCCCCCAGTGATGAGAAAGGGTTGGGCGTATACGGGGGTATACATGCCGGGCATGAACGGACTCATGAAAAGCAAGACCCGAGTTGAAGTGAGAGCAAGTGCTTGAGTTCTTGCCGAAAGCGTGGCGAAAGGTTTGTCCTGGGCAGTGGTGTGCATGGCATGATGTGGAGATGCTACTCTGTTGATGTTGATGTGCGGTTCTGATGTGGTGATGCTACTCTGATGATGTTGATGTGCGGTTCTCTCTTAGGTTGTCAGAGGTTGCACTGCTCATGGCAAGATGTGAAGTCTTCGATAGGTAGACCATTACAGTTTCGCAAGGCTGCTTGGTCCCTTCACAGCGCCATGACCACAGCCAAAGCTGCAAGCGGGCCTCCATGTTCAGCATCGGGCACTTCTCGTGCAGCTGCTGGAAAGGGCAGCCGCAAGCACGGTGGCACTCACGGTCGCCCCCACACTTGTCATGGCACTCCATCTTCTCCACCAGCTTAGCCTGAAGATCAGCATCTTTCGGCATGGGGCATGCCTTGTGGCAAGCGCCATCGTGGCCGCACCTGGCATGGCACATCTTCACCTCCATCACATCGGAGCAGAACTCAGCGTCCGCCGCAGCCGGCTGCCAGTGATTGTGCCAACCGTGATGATGATGGTGGTGGTGGTGGTGGTGGTGCTCCTGTACAGGCAAATCTGCAAATCGCAGCGAGCTTTGCAGTTGCGTCGCTCTGTTCAAGTACTAGACGGCTCCTACTTCCGAGGCTTGCGAATCCTGTCGACTTATAAGGGTCTACCATTAGTCAAGACGCGCTTTCGAGAGGTCTCGCACTTTATGCCCTAGCAACATTGCAAAAGCCTGTCCATGCCACTAGGCCAACATGCGGGCCTCCATCTTCAGCATCGGGCACTTCTCGCGCAGTTGCTGGAAAGGGCAGCCGCAAGCACCGTGGCACTCACGGTCGCCCCCCCCACACTTGTCATGGCACTCCATCTTCTCCATCAGCTTAGTCTGAAGATCAGCATCTTTCGGCATGGGGCATGCCTTGTGGCAAGCGCCATCGTGGCCGCACCTGGCATGGCACATCTTCACCTCCATCACATCGGAGCAGAACTCAGCGTCCGCCGCGGCCGGCTGCCAGTGATTGTGCCAACCGTGATGATGGTGGTGGTGGTGGTGGTGCTCCTGTACAGGCGAATCTGTGAAGAGCTACCGAGCAACAGTATGCAACACCCCTCGACTCAACACTTCAACCCCAAACCCTTACAAATATGAACCGCAAACGAAAACCACTTCCTAATGCCAAGAAAACCTGCGAAATTGGAATTGACTTCCGATTCCCCTAAAGCTGTCGACGCCGAAGCCGAGCGACCGCGTTGGCGGACGTGTCCTCGGCACCGTCGAGCTGGACGCGCGGCTCCCTCAGCAAGAGCTCGGGATTTCAGGATCGTCGGATTGCGACGCTGGCGAACCCATAAACAAGCACAAAAAACAGATCACGCGCTGAGAAAAACAAGGGTGCTTCGGGGGTTCCTTGCAAGCTTGTACAAGCAGGATCTGCTCTAAATTAAAGTGCCATGGAACACATGCCGGCGAAGCTCAAGAAGAGTCGCCAAAACCACCAGAGTTGCATTCCCATCATAAGTCCATAAGCCACACCTACATCAATATCTCTCCTATATCCACCCCGCAGAATGCCTTCAGAAACCTTTGACATATCCAAGTGCTGCGAGGTGTCCAAGCGCGCTTCGCACCCTCCCTTGCCACTCCAGCCAGGCCAAGGGTTGCTAAGACAGCGGCCTCGGGGGGGGCAGGGGGGTTGGGGGGGGCAAAAAGATACTACAGGGGCTCTACTATACAGTTCTAACACGGAACTCCACCAAAATAGTACTGGTAAGTATTAAGGCATCCATACTACTCAATGGGGGATCTTTACTTAGCACATAAATGAACGCCCCCTGCTGACATTCTGATTGTCATAAGAGGCTCCAGTTGAGAAAACTCACCTACCGTAATGAAGAAAAGAGAAAGGATCATAACTAAAGGCTATTGTGATGAATGTGGTAGCCTCACCAGGGCTCCGCTATCTTAATAGCCAATGATAATTTGAATGTTGTGCAGCACCATACAAGAAATATACCAACTCAGACAAGACTAGCCAGAGTTAGCACGGATGACCGACCGCAGTAGCAGCGAGAACGTGAGCAACAGTCAGTAATCTAGCACATGCAAGCAAGCAGCGATCCAATGACATGCGTGCATCCTCTTCGCTGGCTTGCGGGCGGTCTGAAGAGAGGCCCAAAGTAAAGTGTCCCGACGCGACTTGTGCTAATGGCTGTGAGCAAGGACGGGCAGCGAGTTCAGCAAACTGCACCTACTGTCGGCTTCAAGAACTGCCTGCCTCAATGCTTCAGGGCACGCTGAGGTCGTCGACCTGCCTGGCTTCGTCGTGCGAAGATGCAGGGCATCAGCTTGGTCAAAGACTTGCTTGGGGGCTCTTCTCGAATCTTGCAGGCCATGGGGTTGCCTAGACTCGACTAGATGAGTGCAGATGATACTGCGGGCACCGGCATCAAAGACCACGAACATCTTGCAGTCAACTCGAAGAAACCACGGAGATGCCTGGCCGGCACGAGCATGCATGTGCTCGCGTGGGGCGCAGCCGTGTCCTCCCGGAAAAAACAACAGGCCCAAAGCCCTTAACACTCTCCTGAGCTGAACATCCACAACCATGCATCCCAAGCTGCAACCCTACAATGACTACAATGGCCCTGAAGAGAACGGTTGTTCGGGTCTTCTGGCGCCTCATCGCTCCACGACCTTACACGCTGCGAGGGGTGAAACATGGTTTCTTCATTCGCTCGTTCCTCTCGGGGAGTACCTGCTCAAATTGGGATGGTAATAAGCACATGCTGTGGTAGCAACAGGCCCAGAGCACGCGCTTGACGTCATTAGCAACTCCACTTAGAACGCCCCACACACACACACACAAGCATGATGCACAACCTGGGTGCGGTCTGGGGCTGCTGCTCGAATGAAGCCACTGTCCAGCCCCACTCCATGTGTGTTGCGGACCTTGCTGTGGCAAGCGGCTTGTTCTCGTCTTGGCATATTGCTTTCGGAACAACATCTACATGCGGGTTCAGAGCTGGGTGAGTGCAGCAGGAGGAAAGTGTCGGCCAGCACGTTCAGATGCTCGGTGAGGCTGCAGCACGCCAGGCTTGAAAGACTCAGACCGGCTTTTCTGGAAAACGCTCTTCCTTTGGAACCAAGTATGATCCTACTCAACTCCGCGAGTGGTCAAGATCCGGGAATCTTGAAGGCTTTACATGTGCAAATGCTAACAACCCCCAGCCTATGTCTGCGCCGTGACATCTCAATCCCCAGTTTGGGCTTGCTCGAGCTTTGGGCTGTTTTTGGTCTGGGGCCACAGCTCCAACTATGAAGCTCTTGATCCGATCAGTGCACCCTTGACATGCGCCAAATTTAACCGCGGGACGAAAGCCGAGCCCTGAAGCCCAAAATCTCAATCTAGATCATACAGACCCCATGTAAATCCAGCCCTATTTGTCCAAAGACCTCATCCCCAAACCCCAAACACCCAAAACCGTAACAAAATCGTGGAAGCATCACCCCGATCCCTCAGGATTGGCCCCCTAGTCCCACAGAACCGACGGTAGGCGCCCGCGTTTTTAAGATCAAGGAGGGACATTGGTTTTCCTATGCCTCAGTACACCACAACACTCAGGGCATCCGACCCGTGGTACCCGCGGCTGCGGCCTTGTACTAGGGGAGCCACGGCCTTAGCACGTCTAGGGAGGAGATCTTTGGGTGTAGAGGCTTCGGCATGCCATCCAGTCAGTTTTCATAAAACCTTCCGGGTTATGCCAGGCTTCCCTTAAAGCTTTTTTGAACGGGGTCGGACCCTCTCGCGACTACGGCTAAACCTGGCACTTGAAGCCTGAAACCCTAAGACTCCGACACCCCAAGCCTCTAAGAAATCCCTAAATGGCCCCAAGCCACTACGCCACCCTTAGCAATGGACATTCGAAAGGCGCTTTTCTTCTTCGCATCGAAGGGCATCAGCCGTGAGACAACGAAGAACAAGATGCGCCTACAGAAGAGAAGTGAGGGTTTTGCTGTATAGTCTAGAGTCCAGACCGAGACTGGAAATCGGATTCTGATTCGAAAGACGATTGCAAAAAAAGCACTTGTGGCTAACAGATCTCAGAACCCAGACCCAGGCAAGTGCGACATCGCAGCTGATGTCGGCGTTGTAGTCGTCATTGATAGTAGCCAGGGACAAACTCTACAATCACCTGGGATTTGGCGGCGCGTCTGGACGATAGATGGGATCAACAGAAAGAAGACTACCAAATACCATGCCTCAAAGCGCTTGCAAGCTCTCAACACATCACTCGCTTCTTACTTCATCCCAACTACATGGCTGGCTGTGGCCCAGAAGAAGCACGACAGGAAGCCCGCGCAGTTTGGCCGCCGTAAGTACAGAGCCTCCCCAAAGCAGATTGTCTCGCAGTTCTCAAGTGGAGAAAATGTGGCCACGGTGGCAACATGTTTGGCTCCGAGAGCCCGTCCTTGACATCCAAGTTGTCATCGGCTGCTTCAGTATCCGGCAGCATTCGCGGCATTACTGTCATGACAACTTCCCACAAGAAGCGCAGAAAGCCAGGCCGCCATCCCGCAATGCTTGCACAGCTAAGGCGCGAAGTCGCGAACCTAACCGTGGCAGAGTTGGGTACGAATAACTACCTGTTCCCGATAAGACTCAATTAAACACAAGAAGAACATAGAAGAACCTTAAAAGCAATCCAGCAGCGAGCCCTGACCCGCCGGTCAGAATAGCTGCATCCGGGATCTACACGCCCGAGCTTCTCTGATATTTCGCCAGGCTCTGCCGAGGACGGCCGGAAGTTGACAGCTTCGGCTCCGGATCTCAAAAACATAAGGATCAGTCCACTGCTTCGCCTTTGTGGCAGGCACTGACTGCCGCGTTCAGGGAGATCAGGTTCGTTGCCACCTCCCATGACAGCCGACCGAAGTTGAAATATCGTTCCGGTTTGCCCGGAGGCCTGCTAACACCTGAACTCCATAAATCTACACCGCCGAAAACTCGCACTCACTTCGCCCTCCTGCTGCTGAACTGGCCGGTGAGAGAACTTCTGTACAATCCCTGCACCTTTTGCATCAGGACTTGTGCAAACGCCTGAAGACATGCACCTGAACCTTGAAACATTGGGGTCTTGAGGACCCTGTGCTGCTAAGATTTCGGGTCTAGGTTTTCCCGCGCTTGGAAAGCCCTTGCAAAGCCCGACTCAACACCGATTACCTCCCTATCCTGAACATCCTTCTCGCCCGACGCCCTCATAATGATATTCATAATAGTAATAATAATAAAAATAATACTAACAATATTAATAATAATAACAATAACAATAACAATAACAATAACAATAACAATAATTATAACAATAACAATAACAGTAACAATAACAATAACCATAACAATAATAATACTCATAATAACAAGAACAAGAAGTATAAGAATAATAGGGAAGAACCATAATACTGAACCCTCGGCTTAAAGCCCCCGGCGCCTTGAGGGCCTCGGCTGTACCCAGAAGGTCCAGGGCCTGTCGCCATTCCCCAGGCTTTTCCTGGAACGATTTCGGGTTCGGGCGAGTACTTTTGGGGCTTCGGGCCGTGGCCGCCACTATTCGGGGTTGTGGCTTCGAGCCGTTTCCGAAAATAGGGGACCCTCATAAAGTACCCTAAATAGTAGGATCCCTATTATAAGGACCTTGCTAGATCTGACATCTGTGCTGGCGGGATTAAAAGCCAGCTTTACGGGACCAACGGAAGGCGAATGGGGCAATTGCACATGCCCCGAACTTTTGGGCAACTACGATCGTGACACCTAGGTCAGCCAAGCAGCCAGTGCAGTGCAGGAGACCCGTTCGAGGTGTAGCATTTTGAGACTCTCAGCCCGGTGCTGTCATCCCTAAACCCACGTGTCCTAGTACAGAAACCTGAATGCCCTAAACCCTAAACTAAAAGTCCAAGCCCTAACTACACCCAAAGCCCAAAGAAGCATGAGGTGAAGTTTGCCCCGTATTAATATCAACTCCAAACACAGAAGATGGATTCAAGCTTCCTCGAACCTGAACTGTAGTCACGATAAACCGCAGCCCAGGCACACAAGCACTGAGAGTAGCGCTGAAGGTCACCACATCGGACTGAACCTTTTGTGTGGGATTTGTGCTAGACGTCTTTTCGATCAAACAGCTTGAGTTTATACTGTATTATGCTATATCGTAAATTCTACTTTGTGATTATATATTGTATGGATATAAATACAAAAATTATAAATAGAAAGGTCGCCTAGAACAGCCCAGGCGCATGTTCACAGGACGCCAGTGCGAGAAGCTGAAGCGCGGCTGCCCACTCCACCTGCGATGGGGAAAGGGGTCGTAGGATGGCTTAACACTAGGTATTATCATTCATACTAGTAATTACAAGTATTCTCATTATTCCCACTACTCTCAATGTGTAGTGCGGTCGGTCAACATACCACGGCGACTGGAATGACCTGGCTGCTTGTAACCGTTTTGAGCTTTCCATAATAGTGTGACTATTCCAGATCCCACTGCTGGACATGACTCTGGCTGAAGATTCGGCCTTAACCGTATGAACTCGCCACAGCCTTGCACATTCAAAGGACCTGCGGGCTGCGGTTACATCGCGTCTAGTTGATGGTTACGGCTCTGTAGGGCTTCGAGTCCTAGGCCAGCTTTAATTAAGCCTTTGAGGGTCTACAGGTTAAGGGTTTCAGATTCACGACTTCAGATGTCCACGGGCACAGCCCTCAAGCAGTATACGGCTGAAGCTGGCAGATTTGAACTTGCGTTGGAGTATCGGAGGTAACACGACACCAGCCCTCACAATGACAAAGAGCAGCAGGAACATTCCCGGACTCCGCTATTTTGGCACTTCGAACATCGAAGTTGCTGTATGCTCTGCAATCCTGAACACTGCAACTACGCAGTGCTAACCTCAAAACCCGGCCGACGTCAAGGAGAATCCTCAAATCACTCCTTGACGCCTTTTCGACTACTCGAAACGTGCGCATGCCCACCTCCGACTTCTCGCAAGCACTGATGGCTGCATTGAACAGGTACACCTGAAGTAGGGTCTCTGGTGCTGAGCCAATTCGCCGTCGCTCAGAAGTGCACTTTCTGGTATTA